GGGTTGTTTTGAGAAGGGTTTACACCAAAAGTTTCCACATCTGGCCCAAACCCACGGTTGATGTGGCCACGTTTAATGTAAACACCCTCCAAAACAACCAATAAAGACCACATCTGGCCCAAACCCAGGTTTTCAGGCCCAGAACCTGGGTTTGGGCCAGATGTGGTCATTTGGGGTTGTTTTGTAAGGGTGGGCTAAGTTTGGCTTTTGGGTTTTGCTTATGGGGGGGTTAGCCGTGCCATGTGTGGTTTGCTTATGGGGGGGCTAACCTTGCCGTTTGAATTTTGGTTATGGGGGGCTTAATGCTGCCCTTTGGGTTGTGCTTATGGGTGGGTTAACCGCCCAAACAAACCCCATCATGCTCATGATGCTGGCTCTTGGCGGGCTGCCGGAAGGCGGCAGGGCCGGCCCGTGCCGCTAGGCCTAAAATACTATACCCAAAAGAAGGATATAATCTTACTCCATATTGGGTACCATAGTCTCCCCAAATAAAGTACTACTCACCCTAAACCCTAAACCCTAATGACCTAATGTCGTGCTTTTTATTGAGAACCGCCCATCTCTGGGGTCTGTTAAGGCGAACCAAAGAATTCTGTGCCCTCCCGTATACAGATGGTCCATGTACCCTATAGTTAGGTACTTGGGATTTGGGTAATAGTAATAATAGTACAGGTTATGTAAGTATATATGATTATTAGGTATTTGGACCCTTAGGGGTATACAGTGCATGATTCAGTGGAAAACCAAAACTTGAACGCACATCTTACACACTCATAAATCTTGAAAGTAAGCCAAGCGGCAAGCAGAACGTCAACTGCTGCGCATCATGTTCACCCATACTTTGTGGGCTCAAGTGGTTGCTTGGTGGAGTTCAACTTCAGTGCTTTGGGGAGTAGATAAGGTGAAGGTTGTCATAGGGCTGAAGCGGTAAGGGTTGCACTTGCCTGTGGTCATTTTCATGCCAGTCTCTGATATAGGTGCCACGGTTAAGGAAAGTTGCGCTTAGCTGCTGGGATTGTTGGCTCAGGACTGAGTCTCGGCTTCAGAGATATGGGGGCTAAGTAGTAGCCTTTGTGCATAATATCCTCATATTCGGGCCGTTGGACCCCCTGTTTTGCACAATCTGTACATACTTAAGTGATTTTAATGCCTGAAACTGCATGAAAAGCCACACGTTTTGCGTCCCTTGTGCAGGATTTGGTTGACATTCAAATGGCTGCGGCCATGTCATTTAACTCATCAGGCCCTGAAATCCCAAACTTTATCCTGGTGTGTGCTTGAACTTACTGGTGCTCATAAATTACTCGCAAGGACAAAAGGGAAGAGAGCCTACTGGAGATAGCAGCTACTTAACCCCAACTTAACCCCCAGCTAGTAAACGACGCCCTCTGAAGATCCCTGAAACCTGCAGTTTCCGCCTTGAACTTTGCCATGGAGACGTAGGAACGGACGCACATGTTTAGGGTTCACAGCTTCTCCGAGAAAAAAAACGGATTCAATCAGAAGAAGGGTCCCACTCCCGCGTGTAGTTTTCCCTGCCAAGCCTGACTGCGGGCTTCTTATCCTTACACCAACCCAAAGGGTCCGTGCAGCTATGTGGTACAAACTTGGGCCCTAAAGTAGCTATATGGGAACCCCTTTGAGCCCTAAGTATATAGATCTAGATCCAATCCGCAGCCACACCACTTCAGGTTTACAGCTACCCTAAACCCTAAACCCTAAACTGCTACCCTCGAAAAAGCAACCTGGGCGGCGACCTGAAGCAAAGGTCCACATCAGAGCACCGGAAGCCCCATCAGTTCCATGACATCTTAAAAGCTGAGTCCTCGGGTGGGTTTAGGGTTCACGGGTTCACCCTAAACCCTAAACCCAAAGCCCTAAACCCTAAACCCTAAAGTTTAGACCCTTCAGCCATGCACTCCCTTTCCAGGCAAGAATTCTCAGACATGTTCTAGTCAGTTTTATGCTTTTAGAGAACATCCGCCTAAGACTGCATAGTCCCCAGGTATGCCTCCTTCACGAAGCCTTGAGGATGGCTGTTTGCAACAGTCATAGGATCCTACACTACCTCCTCCCCAACACCCAACACCCCCACACGTAGTCTTTAGATGACCCTAAACCCTAAACCCAATAGACAGTTTGCAGACTGTTAGGACCCCATGCCCAATCAAGGCGTGGCAGCTTTTTGCTTCTTCAGCACGTGGCTTTCGCCACATGCCTGAAGGTCGGCGCAGTCTAGATATGGCAGTACCCGCATTGTCTGAGGCATGGCTTCTTCCCTTCGGATTCAGCAATTTTGAATGCGGTGTTGAGGGGTTGTTTAACGTTTAGGGTTTAAGGTTTAGGCTTTGTCCATGTTGGACCATGTTGCAAAGAGGTTTCAGAGATGGCTTATGTCAACGACCCTGGTGACGAGCCGCATCGCCTAGTCCTGAAATGTAAGAGATGGTCACATGTGGGTTCCCCTAAGGGTCCAAGGACCCAAATAATAGGGTTGTAGGACCCAAATACCATAATATTACTGGTATTTGGGCCCCAAACCCAATTTTTTTTGCGGTCCTTGGACCCTTAGGGTTCCATAAACGCGGAGCCCCGACCTTACTGTAGGGACTCCCCAAAGCAGGGGCTCCAACTTCTATGAAATCCAGACCCCATATACTCAGCTGTACCCCTATAAAACCGCGACAAATGCACCCCTAGTTTGCGTGATGATCCAAACTCTAACGAGCACACTAGCTCTATGGCCTGAGGCAAATATTTGCTACACATGAGAGTTTCCCAAAATTAAAGGGACCTTCTTTGGGGGGTCCCTAGAATAAGGACCATGGCTTTGCCGTTATTAAAGGAAACTACCAAATAGAAGCAGCGCCAAAACTTTAAACTCAGACGGCCTCTACAGTACATATGGTCTTGGCTTTGACATCAACCAAACAAGGGGGTATATCCAACAATGGCGCAGAACCCGCAGTATGTGTACATATACATGTGAACGTACATCTACGCTTCCTGTTAACTATAGTTTCTTACTGCGGCTAGGACTACTAACTCTAAATAACTCTAAACCCTAAGCCCCGGATGCTGAACTCTAAACCCTAAACTATTGAGCTTGCGTTACACTCACTATGCTAGTCGCGGCAGACCAAGCGGAGGGCGGCGAAGCGCAGCTGCCTATGACTCGGGGTTTTAAGGGCCCATTTAGGATTTATAGGGTTGAAGGATTTAAGGCTCATAGACTTCAGGGTTCTGGTCTTAGGGCTTTAAGAGCGGCAGATAGGTCCTAGGAGCTCAGGATATTTCAAGGGTGTGACTCCGCGAACGCTACCTGCCCTTCAAGAAGATTCTCGGCTTTTGGATCGACATGGGGTTTGGGGTTTAGGGTTTAGGGTTGAAGTGTAGGGCTTTTCCACCAACCTCCAAATTCAATTCAACAACGCGGACTGCCTTTGACCTCTAGATAGGAGGTTGCAAGAACTAGAGGTCCTGATACGGGGTACATAAGGGTACATGAGGCTTAGGGATTACAAGGTTTAGCGTTCCAAGCAGCCCCGGGCCTCTTTCTCGGGATGCCCTAGGATTTAAGCATGTTCGGATTTGTGTTGGCACCCCAATTTATGGAAACCCCATTACGTACTCTTCTCAGCCAAAATCAACACTAGCTAAGCCTCTTGTGAGGAATCCATCATGGACTGGGGGGTGTGGCTTCTACAGCTTCTACAGCCTGATTTGTGGACGGAAGGACAAGCAACCATGCAGAGAGGGAGAGACGGAGAGAGCGGCGGTGTAGGGTTTAGGGTCCGGCTTTGAAGGCTAAACCTAAGTGTCCATGTACTATGTACCAAATAACAGAATATCTGACATGTTGGGGATTTGAACTGGGTACGGATTTCGGGGAAGCATATGCTCACTGGGTACTTGGACCCTTCGGGTCATACACGGCCATCTTAGAAAACCTACTGCATGGAATAACATAGATGCCTCACTGATCACCAATATCATGGTGAGGTTTATGTAATGTACCCCGTACCACTGATATACAGGGAATAGAGGACCATACTATTGGCATTTCTCCCCATAAGCCCCTCCATACCCCCTTGTCCGCATGATATTTGGCAGTTTATTTTCCATTTGACTATCAATTATCGGGGGGGAAGGGGAACATCTCCGTGTAGCCCCAACCCTAAACCCCTACATTGCGTCATCACTCCCCAATACCTCCATGGCAGAGGACTGACGGTGTCTTGTGGAACATGAAGCCCAAAAGTATGTAAGATACTTGCCTTTTGGGCTGTCTTTGTCGATTTTGAGCTATTATTGCCCAGGTAGGTTCAAACTGAGAACCCTAAATCCCTAAACACTACACCCCATGAACCTTCATGTCTACGGTTGGAGCTGACTATGGGTCTTAGCACCAGCTTGCCCCTTCAAACAAAAAAGCCCTGAACACAAGACTGCAAAACGTTCATGCGTGAATGCGCCTCCTAAGCCAGGCTCCTTGCACTGGAGAGGGGTGGGCGGGGGCTGGTCCCAAATAATCTTCATCATGAAGGGTCCTGGCCTCGGTATCCTACCAATCCTAGAAGACAGAATGTGCCACACACACGGGACTCCTGCGTCCCCAGCCTTAGGAATTCTCAATTCCATTCCATAGCAGCAATCGTGATTGTGGTATTAATGTTGACAATAAAAGTTATAATGAATGCAACACGGCCTCACAATGCCAACTGGTCATGGCGCTGAAGGAAAGAATTTCAAGATTCAGTTTGTTGGAGCCTCACTGAGCTCTACTGAGCCCGCATTACCCTAACAAGATAAAAGGATCCTTCAACAAAACTATAAGGAATCCCATACCCCCAAGAGTATAAGGGATCCCGAACATTGATCCAGTCTACCCCCGAAAGAGGAAGCCATCGGAAGGCGCAGAGCAGGGGAGGGGGCGTGCCTCGCTCAACATCCAAACTCTGAATCTGCTCTGACCTCCCTGAAATCGAGGTTTAAGCTGGTACACTCACGGAAACTAACATGGAAACCCAACAGGGCGCCTATAGGGACTACAGCCCCTTTACAAGGGGGCTATTTGGATTTCCATATCAGTTTGGGGGGGTGTACTTGGGGGAGAATGGAAAATCAAAATGAACAAATGCTTCAGGATATCCCTCGGGAACCCAACTCAACTGATGTTACTAGCTTCGGCGGGGCGCAGTATTCACCTGTAACCCCAATCACCTGATTAGAGTTTAATGGTGTATACCTGCTACTTAGGGGGTCACTAAGCTGTAGGTAATTACGGTTACAGGTGGGCCCCTGAACCCCTAAACCCTAAACCCCAAACCCTGAACCCCTAAACCCTAAACCCCTAAACCCTAAACCCTAAACCCCTAAACCCCAAACCCCGAACCCCTAAACCCCTAAACCCAGCGGGCCTTGCTGGACTCCAACTGGCGAATTCGCATCGCTAGCTGAAGGCCAGGGCCAGACAGCCTGTGCCAGGTTGACCATTGAGCTCTGGGGTTTAGGGTTTAAGGTTTAGAGACTCTTATTATAATATACCCAAAGCCACATTCTATCTACTTAAGGGGGATATATAGGTTTGGGGCTTATTATAAAAGATAATGATGGCAAAGAAAATGAAAACTACTATTTAGGGTTTAGGGTGTATATATAATCCCCTTCAGTAGACAGAATATGGGGTATATGGGGATCTTATTATAATATACCCAAAGCCATATTCTATCTTAAGGGGGGCTATAGGTTTAGGGTTTAGGGTCAGGAATTGCGTTTGGAGTACATGGGGATCTAGGGCAGGCACTGCATTTTGAAAACACCGCTTTCCTAGTTGAGATGTAGAATATCTAGCCCTGAGGTGTATGGGCTTACTCTTGGTATCGTTCAAGTTTGGGGGCAAGAAGAAAATGTCTTCATGAGATAGTTAGAGCTTGAATGGGTGGGTTTTGGGTGACCTGCAGGGACAAGCCCAGGCAAAGCTATTGAGAAAACCTTGCCGCTAGACCTTCAAGATGGAAAGGCAGGTTACATAGGGATAATGGAACGGAGAATGGAAACTACTACATGTATATAATACATTGGGGTCCTACAAGAATAATGGAACCAGGAAATAGAAGCTACCATTGAGGGGTTAGAGTTATAGTCCCCCTTAAGTAGATAGAATACGGGGTATATGGGGATCTTATTATAATATACCCAAAGCCATATTCTATCTTAAGGGGGACTATAGGTTTAGGGTTTAGGGTCAGGAATTGCGTTTGGAGTACATGGGGATCTAGAGCAGGCACTGCATTTTGAAAACACCGCTTTCCTAGTTGAGATGTACGTAGAATATTTAGCCCTGAGGTGTATGGGCTTACTCTTGGCATGGTTCAAGGTTGGGGGCAAGAAGAAAATATCTTCATGAGATAGTTAGAGCTTGAATGGGTGGGTTTTGGGTGACCTGCAGGGACAAGCCCAGGCAAAGCTATTGAGAAAACCTTGCCGCTAGACCTTCAAGATGGAAAGGCAGGTTACATAGGGATAATGGAACGGAGAATGGAAACTACTACATGCATATAATACATTGGGGTCCTACAAGAATAATGGAATCAGGAAATGGAAACTACCATTGAGGGGTTAGAGTTATAGTCCCCCTTAAGTAGATAGAATACGGGGTATATGGGGATCTTATTATATATCCAAAGCCATATTCTATCTTAAGGGGGACTATAGAGTTTAGGGTTTGACCCCTGACCCCTCCCACCCTCCCTGATAACAGCAGGGCATCCTTGCAGGCATTGAGGTATGGAGGTTTAGGGTTTAGGGTTTAGGGAAAAATGTGGTACCGTTAAAGCACCAAGGACATGGGCAGTAGCTGGGGGTACCCTCAGAGATCACATCTACAAAGCGTTCTGAGCAAGTTTCATCATGAAGGCACGCTTTGACCTATGCGGCCAGTGTCTTTTGTTTCGTTTAGCGGCTGAAAGGGCTCACTCGGACTGCTGGCCCCTGTTCTTGCTAATCAAGTCATGCACGGTCGGTCCAGACAATGATTGAGAGGGGGGACATCTTCAACCTTCAGAAGCTAAATCAGACATGGTCCAAGGCGCATCCACAAGGTGTAGGGTTTAGGGACGTAAGCTTACAACCTTGGGTAAACAGCAATTATTGTCAATTGTTTCCCTGGTTACAGCATGGCTCAAGTGAGACTATGCTACATACCGCAGTGGCAAAACCTCTACATTAGACGTAACAATTGACAGGGCCATGTCTTTGTTGAAGCTGTGCTGCCACCCCCAAATGCAAACTACAAAAAGACCCTCATTAAGGACCCGCTTGATCATAGCTATAAGTGGGGTCATGAGTTATGAGTACCCTCGCCGGGTGAACGATTATAGCTACGCATGAACCTCCAAGTAGACTTCAGGGCACCCTTCAGATTTCCAGGCAGTGCAAGCGGATTCATCTCCCTCAAGGAACGCACAGATGACATTTGGAACAACTTCCCCCAAGTGGAAATGGCAAACGTGTCTGGGGCTTACTTCATGCGCTTCGATCTCATAGTACAAAAATCGTAAATTCATAACTGACGCAATTTGAGAAAGTCTCGCATGCCTAGGAAGGGTCCAGGGAGCATAGGTGACTATGGATGTAGGACGTATGGTGTAGGGTTGCGTGCGGGGTTGTAACTCTTCTCAGCTTCATCATAACTATCAACGGTGCTTTGACTAAGGTTTTCGCACAGTAAATCCAGTAGCAACAAGGACCTCTCATCAAGCATTGGCTTTTCATGAGTTCCCTGGGGGAAAAGAATCTACACCGTTCCTTACAGCCAGGTTACAACAACCACAGAAGCGTAAGGTGTACCTACCCAGCCACTAAGGCATTACATAGCTAGAGCTCTTGCTTTTCATGCGCGGGCCTCCCAGTCGACTGTCTGTCCTGAGGCAACGCAGGGCCACACATGAGTAGTTTTTTTGGTGGTTAAACCCAGTAAGATTATATTCCATATATAAACTACTATACCCCAAAAGGATGATAGAATCTTACTTTATAATGGGTACCATAGTGTCCCCAAATAAAATACTACTCACATGTTCCCTGCCCAGCTCGAGGCTCAGACCCTACACCCTCAACCCTAAACCCAACACACAAACCCTCATCCCCAAATCCCTATAATCCCTAAACCCTATAAACCCTAAATCCTTAGTCCCTAAACCCTATAAACCCTAAATCCCTAGTCCCTAAACCCTCAATCCCTAAACTCTAATCCCCACATCTCCCTATCTCCCCCTTAAAGCCCGAAAGTCAGAGCTGAAGGATTAGCCTAGACTTGTGATTCGTAAAACGCCCTCCTTTTAAGGGCCTTATTACTTACTAGGAGTCCTACTATCATCCATACTAAGGGAACCCTAAACCCTACTATAATCACCATTAAGGGGCAGTGGGTTTATCAATCCCAGGTCTGCATTAGGGCGCAAGGGCGCCAGGCCGGGGACTTCCGGCCTAAGGCCTCGAGCTGAAGCTTGGAGATGTGGGGGGTTAGGGGCGAGGGGTTAAGGTTTAAGGTTTAGGATTTTAAGGGTAATAACAAGGTTTGCGTAAGGTTGAGGGGTTTAGGGGTTTAGGGGTCAAGGGTTAGGGTTAAGGTTTAGGGTTGAGGGTTTAGGTGTTTAGGGGTTAACCTTCAGGGTTTAAGGTCTACTCTAAAAATTAGGGCTCCCTTCAAAGAAGCAAAACGGCTTCTATGGGGGTAGATAGGGATGTACACTATTTAGAGGTTCTGGCTTGGGCTTTCGACCCTTTGCTGGGATTTCCTAGAACAAGGAGGATTGTACTTTGAGGAATCTCAATTGTTTTTGGAAAGTCCTAGGCGGTCTTCCAAAATCAACCTCATCATCTAACTCAGGGTCCGCTCTTCGATTTAAAGGTTTGTAGGGTTTAGTTATTATAGGGTTTAGGGTTTATAGGGTTTATAGGATTCAGGGTGTAAGGTTTAGGGTTTAACTGTAACTAACTCGGTAAAGTGCAAGCATTAGACTGCAGACTCTTCTCGAAGAATGCCCAGGCTCCATACTTGGAGCTAACCATAAGGGCTCTGGGACGGGGGCGAGGGGCTCAGGAACAAGCATGTAAGGTTGGAACGGAACTTCCTCCATGTGTTTAGGATGCTTCAGGCAAATTCACAATAGGTGGGGAGTGCTTTGCGAGTTCCAGAACCCCTGAAAACAAGAGAGATCAACTTCTCTTTCCCTAAGGATCCAAGTGCCTAATAGTCATATACTTGCCCAAAACCTATACCAAAAGCACTATTACCAAAATCCCAAGTACCCTCTGGATTTGCAATGAACTATAATAACTGAACCCTAAACCCCAAACCGTACTCGCTTGCGCCTTCTTGACATGATACTTTCCGCAAATAGGGGCCCTCATAGGGTTTAGGGTTTGGGCTAACAGAGACCCCAACATACTACACATAATCTTATTACAAGGATTCCTCTCCAAAAGGCCCCCCCCCATTTTTTGGAAATTCCCACATTAAGTCATAGTCTGGTTCATGGTGCGTGTGCCCCAATTCATGGCCTTCTGGCCATCTGGCAGCTACCCTCCCCCCAGAACAAACATGGAACCTGAAACAGGTCCCTTCAGACTACGGCTCTTTTACGAAGGACTTCCATGATGTTCCATGCCAGTTTGGAAGATGGTATCTGGAGACGGAAGGTCGGATCTTGAGGCGGTCAGTTCCTCGCCGTGGGGTTGCTGGTGGACTGAACACATGTTTGATGCCTCCGTAGCTCTCGTGTAGAAGCACCAAGGGTTCTGCAACTGCCAGGCTGAACCCTACATCCTCAATCCGAAGACCTGAACCCGCCTAGACCTCCCAAATACCCAAAATTATGGCCTTCTGCCCCAAATGATGGATATAGAGACTATCGTTTTGTGTTCGGGAAGTGTGGTTGATTCGAGTAGGGCACCTTTCCACACAGGGCTTGAGCATCCTAGTTGCTGAGTTCTCTAGGCCGAAAAAGAATTTAGAGTTGTTCAAGTATAGTTGGGGAAACAATGTAGAATGTACCGGCCCGGCTACTAAGGTATGCCTTGCCACGACACAGACATCTCTCCTACTTCAAGAATGTTCCTGACCCTCGTCTATAACTCCCTTTAGGAGCCCCAGTTTCCATGTGACTCTCAATCCTCCGTTCTGCCTGAAGACTCACGAAGCACATCAAAGTACCTATATAAACCTTGGACCACAGCAATCCAATTAGGTTCAAGTGGGGCCCCCTTGCTAATAGTAATAATGATGGTGACACTAATGATGATAGCAAGGGCAAAATACGCTATAACTTACCATAATATACAATAATATAGGTTCGCAAAGCTCTAAACACTCAACCCTCAACCCGAAGCCGCGTGCGTCTCGCTTGGGTCCTCCATCGACATGCGGAAGCTGAAGTACTGCCTCAGACCAAAATTAGGGGTAGCCTTTCAAGGGGGTTAAATCTATAGGGGTTATAGATATAACTAGGGGTATATAAGGTTTAGGGTTTAGGGTTTTGCCAAAAATAGGGGCACCTTTTGGGGGGTCCCTAGAATAAGGGTTGTAGTATGTTGGGGACTATATTGTGGTCCCCTTATTCTCGGTTTTTGAAAATTTCACGCACAGGTACGTTCTGGGAGTCCAACGTCTCGGAAAAGCACGTTGCAGAGTTGGATCGTAAGGTTGTGAGGCGTCCGAAGGCGGGCTCTGTGTGCAAGCGCCCTACACGTATTGCCGGTGCCTGCATTCCCTTGCGAAGCAAACGACCTTATAGTGCCTTTACATCTCAAGAAATAGAAAGGTCGCCCTGCGTGTGGTGCTTCCCCATAGTCCTGAAGGTGTCAGGAATAGAAAGGAAGCCACTGCCTTCGAAAAAGGACAGCTTGAACTAATAAAGATGAACTGGGAGCCTTGAACCCTGTACTGTAGGAAACGAACTGCGGGCTTTCAGGAATGCGCCTGGAGGCTCACATTAAGTTCACGACCAGAAGAAAGTTCCACAGATTGCAAGCCTAGAACTTGAAACTTAGGCACCGCGCTCTTGGTCCCATACCCTGGCACACCTGCGATCCCGCCTGCTTGCTGTACACTGTAGCAAAGCCTGAACCTGAAACCCGTCGCAGGAACATGTGAATAATGTTGCAGCAGGGGGTCTGTCCATGCTTGCTTCGCACGCGCCGGAGAACATCCTGGACAAGGTGATTCGTTGGCGTGCAGGGTGTATCTAAGGTTTGCACAATGGGCGAGAATTGCATTCCAGCTAGGACCCCGGAGACCGGTAGATGCGCGTGCTACAGGCCCATGGTTATAGGTTTAGGCTGTAGGAAGCACCGCGAAGGCTGGTGGAGCCCATCTTGAATATCACGAGTTGCGACGCCCTATTCAGCGGCAGCTAAATACACTGGCAGCAAAATACGTCCAAGAAAGGACCCTACAGTTCCGATATTGCTGATGCTGCGACGCAGTGGCCGCTAGGTCTCTCTCTCTCTCTCTCTCTCTCTCTGCGTGTCTGTCTGCCTGTCTCTGTCTCACTCGACTCGTTCCGATGATTCTATGCACTTTTTTCATAGCTCCTACATACTCCAATGGTTCGGCCCCAAACACACTAAACTACTGCCAGCCGAACAAGAACCGGGAACTTCTCTAAGCTACAGCTAGATCAGAGATCCAAATCATGACCCTGCACCCAAAACCCTATATGGTTCCCATGATATTCCTTGCAGCTTTATGGGAGTGTCCCAGAATAAGGGGTATTCTGCGGGGGGTCCCCACAATAAGGATTATAGTATTTTGGGTCTATAGTAGTGTCCCCTTATTTTGGGAAACTACCAGAAACCTCACCTAAACCCTAAATAGTAGGTTCCATATAACCCCAACCTTCCTTTTTAGGAGACCCTACACCCAAAATCCCTCATGGCCGCCACAATAGTCTTGCAGCCAGTTAGAACCATGATAACTTCTTCAGCATCTCAAGCTCAATATGCTCTCGTCTTTTTTGAGGCACACATGGGAGTTTCTCAACACAGGGGGGCCCCAAAGACCACGGGAATACATGCGGATCCTGCACCCTAAGCCCTAAGATTATAGGGGATATATAGGGATAATGGAAAATAAAATGGAAGCTACTATTATGTAGGGGTCATATAGGGGACAGATAAGGATAATTGAAAAGCCCCACAGCCCAAGCTTGGGATTTAGGATCTCTTCAAGCACTACATTCGCAGAGGCTGGGCGGTTGGAAGCCTCTAAAACCCCCTCTACCCCTTTGCAGACCCGTTCCACCCCGGGACGTGACAGCTTAAACCCCCCCATTGCCCCTCGACCCCCCTCCCAATGCCCCAACAGCCGTGGCAGGTGCGCGACAGCACTTCCAATTATAAGGTTAGTTTTGAGAAGCTCCTACATGGGTTGTTCTCAAAATTATGGTTCCCTTTTGGGTGTATATCATATATATATATATAATATTACGGCACCTAGTATTCAGGGGTACCAAAAGAGGACCCTAATTTTGGGAACTACCCACATGACCCTGAATTGTTGGCCTGCGCAGTGAGCTTCAACTCCGCAAGCGGCGCCTGCGTTCGAGGGGTTTTGGGCGAATCCCAAACCCTAATCTACTGGTTAGCAGGGAAAGCAGGAATGTAATCCCTATGTAATCCCCAATAATACATTCCCTTGTTTCCTTCTAGCCCCCAGTAAGTAAAAGCCCTGGGCGAAGGACCCACCTTCAAAGCTCTCAGGGCTGTGTACACCAGCACTTCAGGCCTGGAAACACACATTTTCAGGCGCATGCATTGAAAAGTCCATAAGCCCAAAGGGTCCATGCAGGAAAACAAGTAAAAATGGGGTTTAGGGTTGAGGGTCAGCACCCCAGATAGGGGTTTACTAGGGGTCCGTTTAAATAAGGTTGACAGTATATCCTCGGGTATGCAGAGGGACCTCAGTTTCGTTTTAAAAGCTTGCATAAGGGATGTAGGGTGTAAGGTTTAGGCTGTAAATAAACCACTTACGCAAAACGGCCCAAATAGGGTTCAGGGTTTAGGGTTTATGCCTTCAGATGTGGCTATCCGATCGGAGTCCTTGTATGGCTAAACCCATGTACCTTGAGTCACATAGTCCTGCTTCCCTTTCATGACATCTTTTCATAACCTTAATTACCTAGGCGCTACACAACCCTTGGCGACTCTACAGCCCTCCTACCTGCCTTCTCAGAACCATTGGCCCAATGTCAGGGCTTTTGTAGTTCTTGAGACCCAAGTCCCAGGCATTCAAGTATTGAAGTCTTAGTGATAACGATCCTTGGTGTGTTGGTGGTTTTGTAGGGGTGTAGCAGGATATCAAAATTGAGAAACTACCTTATACACCTTCACAATTTTGAACTGTATGTGTGCCCAGTTTTTCGGGGACTTTATACACAAAAGGCGAAATCAATATTAACAAAATCACGTTCCGAAACCTTACACTCGCTGCATGCCCCATGCTCAACTTGAAGGGTCCGTATAATCCCTCAAGACACTCAAGACTGGAGAAACCCAACCATAAGCACATGAAGGAACACCTGCTAAACCCTGGACACCGAAACCTTGAAAAACCCAAAGCCGCACATTCCCGCCTGCACTCCGACTCTAAGCCACCCAAAATGTCAGAGCCTAAACCCCCAAACCCCAAAAGACCCCAAACCCCAAACCCTAAGAAGCCTAGGCACGCCAAACCCAGAAGCTCTTACAGCAACCCAGGCTGCGAAAACCTAGAAAAAGTCTAGAGTTTAGGGTTTCGAGCTTCGGTCCTCGAAGCTTCAAGCCCAGTGCCAGCACACCCTCTGGGTCCAAGTAGAACAACATTAGGTCGTGAGGCTGGGCTTCTAGGCACAAACTCCAGGGCCTGAGTCAGGGTTTGGAGCTGAGGGTTGAAGGCTTACTGTCTAGGGTCTACGGTTTATGGCTAAGGGTTTAGGGTCTAAAGCCAAAACGAGGCAAGGAATCTAGGATCCTGTATAGCCCCAGCTTCCATTTTCCAGGTGCCTTTCGATTCTCCATGATTGGGGTACTATCCCCAAACCCTATAGAACCCCATATAGTCCCCATATACCCCTATAAAAGCACTGTCTATCCTGTATCATCCATACATAACCACTAGACAATCCCTGTATAACCCTTCTTGAGGCCCCTACATTCCTCACGTAAACCTAAAACCCGAAACCATAAACTCCCTTAGGCCCCCAAACCTGAAACCCAAACCAAAAAGCCCTAAACCCTAAGCCCAGAACCCTAAGTTCTAAACCGCCAAACCCTAAACCCTAAATCCCAAACTCCAAATCCTACACCCTAAGCCCCAATCCAAACCCTGACCCTAAACCCTAATTAACCCTAAACCCCATTAAACCCCTAAAGCCCCAAAGGAATTCCCAACTCCGAGCCCTGGGCCTGGAGGCGGTCTCCAGCGGCGAGGAGTCGGAAAACGCAAGGTTCGCCTCATTTGAGTAGCTTTTTTTTTTCGTGGTTGAACTTAGTAAGATTATGTTCCTTACATAAAATACGACTATACCCCAAAAGGAGGATAGAATCTTACGCTATGTTGGGTACCATAGTATCCCCAAATAAAATACTACTCATTTGAGCTACAGTCTAAACTCCTGAAAGAGGGGTTATGTAAAGGATTATATGGGGAACTACTCTACTATACGGGTCACTAAGAGGGATACTAGGAGTTAAGACTAGAGTTCATGTGGGTTTAGAGTCTAGGATTTGGGGCTTAGGGTTTATGGTTCAGGACCGGTCACAGAAGGGAAAACCCCATATGAGCTACAGGATAAGAAACAATCAAACAAAAGAGAACATGGACAATGAAAGGACAACTGAAAGTATAGAGGGGATCATAGGGGTCAATATTTCCAATATAGTGAATGGACACGGGTTCCTTGTAAAGGAATATTTGAGGGAGTGCCCTAAACTACCAAAATGGGACCCTCATGTCCACCCTTAGTGGTCCCTTGGTACGCCACATGTTGACGGTAGCGCATATGACTATAAAAGGATGAGTGTTGGGAGGCTTGTTTTTTCATGAAGGTTTAGGGTTTGGGGTTTTGGGGATGGGCGTTGAGGTTTTTGCGGGCAAAGGGTTTGCAGGTTCGGGTTCGGAGTTCGGGCTGGAATTTCACAGGTTGCTGTAAGTGGGTGAGAGAAAACATAGGGTTGAATGGGATACAGAGGGTGCAGGGTGAAAATGCTGCCAAGGCTTAGTTGGTAACTACAACTCCCATGGGGAGCAACCTGCTCTTCTCCTTGACTCCTTTAAATTTCTGAAAAGATTTTGGGTTTAGGGTTTAAAGTGTGGGGGTGTACCCAGTTATGCTGAGAATGCATGGGGGGTGTTGACTTGGGGCCTCAGAGCTTATGCTGGGTTTCGTAAGGGAACTTGAGGGTTTAGGGTTAAGGGACTGGGTTTGGAGTTTGAGCCTTATGACTCTGTAGGAGTCTTCCCACCAAACTGACATAACCACGGAAAGGCATTCTGCCAAACATGCTACGCTCCACGGACATGTAGAAGTGACGCGGTGTCTCTTTAAGTCGTTAAGGGTAATCACCTTCTCAATGCTAGAAGTTACTTGGGTTGTTATATACAAGTCTTTCCATAACCACCCTAACTACTCAAAGTCTTTGGGCCCTATGATTATTCATTGTCGGAGGGTGGGGGGCTTCATGATGAAATTATTGTTTGCTATTACGATTGTCTAGATTGTGTAGTTGCTATTATTGGTATTACCATGCCCTAAGCCCTTTAATATTATGGAGGGAATTGGAACCCAAGTTCGGGTACTTCTTCCTGAGTGCAATTCGTATGAAGTTGCAAGTAGGGCTTAGGGTTTGATGTGTCCAGGCGGAGCTCGAAGCTTCAAGAAGTTTAGCCTGGTTTTGATGGGCCGGGACGCAGAAGTCGGAATGGAAAGACACTAAAGACTACAAAATTGTTTGAAAGTATCTAGCGACTATTGTACCTAAACCCCTCAACCCTATAAACCCTAAACGGTCAAGCGGTTGAGGTTTTGGTCTGGCGTTTGTCTTGCCGGCTGAGGCGATTCCACTCTTGAAAAAGAATTGCGCGCGTGGTCAACGAGTTTGCGTGCGTCTAAGTCAGTTTAAGGTGTAGCACTCAGGATTTTGAGTTTAGGGAATAGCCCTGAAGAATAAGAAGCGGTAGAGTTCAGAGGACTGTGAAGCTTTGCGCGTCTGTTCTAGCGAATGGAGCCTTCAGGTGTAAACAGTTACTCTGTTCTGTCTTTTGGTGGTTACATAGGCTCTGAGGTCCATTTTCGTCAGCTTTTCATGCCAAGGCTGCATGAAGTAACCTACGAATAGGTGACGCCGTTGGGGCTCCATTTCTGGTGGGGGTTGTTTGATAAAGCCTCGCGGGTCGCGGGATCCTGTGCAGGGGAAGGGGGGGGGGGGGGGGNNGGGGGTATAGTATAGCGGTCTTGTCTTATATACAGAAAGGCGGCATGCGCAGCATGAGCCATGGATGTCGAAAAACTCACGAGGCTGCTACGGCAAAATTGCATGCTTGGTCTGTCTGCGGGAAAGATAACACCAAAACCCTAAAGTCTGCATCATGCATGGCTAAGCCGTGTGTCTCTTCGGGATCTGTCGGCAGCAAAGCCAATATCAAATTGGGACAGGAGCCTGGCATGCGGAGGAACTTGAGGTAAAGCTCTCTTCAAGCAAAACTGAGAGTATGGCATTGAGCAATTGATTGGAGCGTAGGTCATATGAACACAAGCTGAAAGAAAAGCGGGCATCAAGATCCTGAGGACATTAGACCACCCACGCTCAGTGATACTCCGAATGCCTCAGCCCTAAACCCAATACACTAAATCCTAAACCCGAGAAAGGAAGGTCATGAGCCACTACTGAACTCTCCAACTCCTGAAGCAACATGCTACCAGGGCCTAAAGAATTACCAATATCATCTTGAGGTCCACTTGAGGTACCATAGACCATAATTGTATAAGGAAGATGGCACCGTAATATTGGTAATGATTTACCCTGAGGCTCCATGTCTATCAATAATGCCTACATTGGGCCCCGATGTCTAAAAATAGTACCTACATTGGGCCATTTGGAGCCCTAGGGTTAGGCCCCTATATTGCCTGGACCGTCAAATGATCTTGCAACCCGCAACCGCTCACACGGCTCTGGCTTGCACTGAGTAACAGCACATGAGCTACGGACTATATAGGGGACTATATAGGGTCTTAGGGGTTGGGTTTAGGGTTTAGGGTTTTGGGTTTAGGTTTTAAGGTTTAGGGGGGACCTATTAAGGGATATACTACAAATCTAGCCACTTTGGGACCTCCCAGGCTACAGAACTGCCTTGATTCTGTTCCATCCTCGTGACATTAGTTTCCACAAGGCAATCGAACCCACAACAAAGATTACCTGCGATTCCTGTTACCTACATCATACCCAGGCTCTACGGATGATTCCTACCGGAGCTGTAGGTAGTGACCGAGGTCAAAGGCATGGCTAACGACAGTTCACGTACGCACTGTACATCTGAGAGATCTGCCTCTCAAGTGGCCAAAAAACTATAAACCCAAAACCCATCTTGGCGCCCAGACGATCCACGCTCCGCAGACGAAAGCGTAAGCAGTCCTGGCAGTATTTTTTTGTACACCAGCACGTACTGGGTTGCTGTTCAGGAAGGAACCTAAGTTACCATTGAGGATCTCTACAGATTACAGTATTTCCATATCAGAATAACTTAGCCAAGCTCCCTAGTCGCAACCGGGTGTAGAGGTCTAACATTTGGGGTCATACAGCCTTTGACAGTGGTTAGGACGGAAGAAACAAGACTTCTCAGCATTATGGCAGGCTTAGCAAATGTTTTCCGCCACATCCAAAGCCTGCCCCCCCGACCATGCATGGGCTTGATTGTGAGGCTCTGTAACGATAATAACGACAATGACGGTGACAACGGCTTGTCTTGTGGCTCCTACCAGCCACTGAGTTCGTAGTGCTGTTACTGCTACTCACTGGACTGCCATCTACGCATAGGACTACCCCTTCTCCACCCCAGTGGTCAGGCTTATCCTACTGCCGTTCTGGGCTGTTGCTACGGAACCTAAGTGAAATAGCTGTGATTAGACAACATCACTATCAGTATCATCATCTACATATCCTGGTTATGGTTACTCAGTTTCCGGTCCTGAACAACAAGCCGAGATTGCTTTTCTGCTGGGCCGTACCCTCGGAGATTGGACACATACACACACACACATGCACACACTAATCACCGTGCCGTAGGGCCTTCACTGGCATCTTGTAGATCACCGTTGTACCCACAATAATCCTATACGTCACCTACAAACCCTAAACCCTAATCTCCAAGCAAACCTCAGTTTGGGCTGGTAAGGGGCCTTCAGCCAAATCATAAGATGTTTTAACCCCACATCCTCAAGAGTTGACACTCTAGGCTTACGCCTCAGCCCCTTCCGTAGATGGGGTTTAGGGTTCAGGTGGCAGAATGTTGCCCATGAGCCTTAAATGGACCCGCAAGCCCTATGTAGTCCCCAAGGTCCTGAAACCGAACAAGGCCATTCGAGGGAGCGGCATGCGCTGACATTTCCTGGCAGTCACCTGGGAATCAAAGCCGTCTATCAGGCTTTTCCCCCTTACAGTAACCGTTCCCGCAACACGTAATAGGAGTCATCGTGGCCGCTTTATAAAGAGCCCGTCCGAGACCAGTTCCTGTAAAAAGGACTGACCCGGGCCATCCGGGAATATCGTTTCTGGGGCTGGGGCTCCAAATAAGACTTCTGCTGAACCCTAAACCCTACACCTTAAACCCAAACCCTAAACCCTGCAGGCTCGGAAATCAAAACAGGGAGGAATCTCTGCAGACTTGCCCTGAGGGTCCAAGTACCTAATAATCATATACTTACCCAAAACCTGTACCATAATTACTATTTCCCAAAACCCAAGTACCTAATTATTGGGTACATGGACCCTCTGGGTCTGTAGACTTGCAGCCCCTGAAAGGCGTCTGCGCGAGGCTTGGGGCTCTGAATTTGGAATGTCTGTTTAGAGTTTGGAGCTTATAGTCCCCCTTAGGTAGATAGAATATGGCTCTGGGTATATTAGAATAGGATCCCCATATACCCCCATATTCTACCTACTTAAGGGGGACCATAGGGTTTGGGGTTTGGGCTTCTCAACCCTAAACCCTAAACCCTAAACCTTAAACCTTAAACCCTAAACCCTAAGGGTGGGATGTTTCTCAATCAGCGACTGTTGGACGCATGGACCCCGAGCTTGGGCTGATGCCGCCAAATGAATGTGGCGGCCTATACCAAATACCTAAGGGTTTGGGGTTTAGGGTTTAGGGTTTGGGGTTTAGGGTTTGGGGTTTAGGGTTTAGGTTTTAGGGTTTAGGCTTACCCCTCACCCTGTAATTGCAGTATACTAGGAATATAAGAGGACCCTTATATGATCCTTACTATTCCTTATAGTCACTATTACTGGGTGGGGAGTCAACCTAACAAATACCCTAAGCAGGCAAGTATGCAATAACTGTGTACTTCCCCGAGACCTGTGCTTCAATCGCAGCTACACAAATCTCAGTACTGAAATATTGTGTATTGGATCTGCAAGGTACTATCCTAAATCCCAACTCTTTCTCATAAGCCTTGAACTCCTTGTAATCCCTAAACCCCACAGACCTCCATAATCCCTAAACCACACTTATCCTCATGATCCCTCTTCAGGAGAACTCTTAGACCCAAACCCTAAACCCTAAACCCGGGTGAAACCAAGGCCCCTGCCTACATGGACGGACAGGTACACCTGCTCAGGTCAAATCAATCCGGGTAATTCTGGGAAGCCCGGGTTTAGGGTTTAGGGTAACACGAT